GGTGGCAGGAGAGCGGGGGTAGGGCTAGGCCAGGCAAGATGGGTGCTAGCAGGGTGGGGGGCAAACCTCAATCAGCTTACCGGCTGCCCCACAGAATGGCCCTGGTTGCCGGCCAGGCCTAGGGACCTTACCCATGCACGAATTTTGTGCACTGGGCCTCTAGTTTTAAATATATTTTTTTAAGTATTTTTTTTTTTATTATTGATTTCAGAGAGAAAGGGAGAAGGAGAGAGAGATAGAAACATCAATGATGAGAGAGAATCCCACTAGAGATCGAGCCCATAACCCAGGCATGTGCCCTAACCAGTAACTGAACTGCAACCTGCCGGAAGATTTCATCAAAGTGGGGCAACTGACGAAGGTTGACGCTCAACCACCAAGTCACGCCGGCTGAGTGAGAGGCAATCGTTTAGGCTTTGCGGGCCACAAACCAAGTCTCGGTCACGTATTCTTCCTTTGAAAATTTTTTTTTTAATTTTTTATGAATATAAAAACTATTCTTAGTTATAGGTCATAGGCTAGTTTTGGCCTGTGGGCCATAGTTAGCCAACCCCTCCTGTATTTGGATGTAACATATCTATGAGCTTCTGTCATTGCCAGTGCTTCCACGGGAGTCAGGGAAAAGACAGATGAGTATAGAACCCCCTCAGCAGAGAAGGAAACGCTTACTACTCCACAGCTGAAGACGTCCACGCGCTTCGTCAGCTGCCCCACTTTGATGAAATCTTCCGGCAGGTATGCAGCCGAGGCCTGGAACACACAGGTCTTCATCCTGGTGTACTTTGACCTTTTACTGTCAGGACACGGGGGAGCCTTTGGGTGAGCCAGCATGGGGGTGAAGTTTTGATCCAGCAAAACATTGGAGCTGTGGGAAAGAAAGCAGAGAGAACCCTCTCATGTGGGGCTGGACAAGAAGTGATTGCCATGGAGACGCTTTTGGGGAAGCAACCTAGCCATGAGCAGCGTCCGTCCGCTGCAGCAAGTTAGCGTCCCTGAAGATCCTCCCCATGAGTTTCTGAGAGAGGAGCCTACTCCAACAAGCCAATGGAGACGGAGCTAAGATTCACCCTGCTGCCCTGAGGATGGCATTCAGTCATCCTCAATGGTCAAAGAGGTGCAGCCTGAACGATCCCCACAGATGCCCACCCCGATCACTCTCAGCTGGCCACACCCATACAGGCTGTGTTGGCTCAGTAACCTCTGAGGCTTCTCCGACCCCCAGCTCTGGCCTGGCTGACGCGAGTCTAAATGCCAGCATCCTTCGTGACTGAACCTGTCCAGATTGTAGAAAATCAGAGCAATAAAAATATCCCTGAAGCTAGTCGTCTACTAGTAAACCATGGGAGGGAACTCTCAGAAAGTACTCTAAAGGGGACAAAAAACAACAACTCAGCTATATGTGTACAAATATTCAATGTAGAACTAACCCTCTAATAGTTTTTTTTTTTTAAAGTAGACTCCAATTCTAAAGTCTACTATTAGGAGTGGGTAAATAAATTATGGGCGATCCGTGCAATGGAAGACTAAGAAGTCACAGAAAATGACGACCCGCCATGTGGGAAAATGTTCATCGTATTTAAGTGAAGCGGGGGAAGAGACTATGAAATGGTAACCAGGTAACAGGGCTACCATAGGGCCACGCCTTCTGTGTGGGAAGAGGGGCTGAGAAAAGAAATGGAGAAACGGGGCCAGTGGATGAGTCAGAGTGGTGAGCCAGGACCACCCCAGTCCTTCCGCTTCCTTTCTGTGCGACCAAATAAGAATCAACGGGGAGGGACAAAAAAACGGGCTTCCCTTGGTCAACTGGAGAGAGGGCTTTTGGGGAAGCGTGGGTTCTATGGTTTCAAGCTCAATTTTGCCGAATTCTCTGTTACCTTCTGGGATCTCTTCCCGCGTTGCCCGTCCCCAAATGGGGAACTCTTGGATGGTTGGGACCGTGATGGCTGGCGTGTACACTAACCTGCAGGAAGCCCCCCCTAACATGAGTCATGTTCGCTCTTGGGTACACAAGCGGGCGAGGTGGGTCTCCGAGAGGACCCCAAGCACAGAGCTCAAAATCCCAGGGGACTTGGCAGATAGGACCCAAACCTCAAGGACCCGGTGCAGACCAGCTGGCTGGGTGGAAAGTAAACTCCATCACGGGTGCGGGGTGCTTGCTGGGAAAACACCCGCTGAGAAAGACAAACGTGGTGACAGGTAGGCGGTTTGTGCTGACAGCAACCAGAAACACTGCTCTTTGAGGATGTGACAAAGAAAGGAAGGCCCGAAAGAGGTGAGGTGGGGGGAGAAAGGCAAAGAGAAGAGAGACAGAGGGAGAGGAAGGGGACCCTGGAATGAGGTACAGTCTCGTCCCTGCAGCCAGGGCCCGTGGCAGGGTCCAGCCCTCCTCCCTCACCTCTTTTTTTTTTTAATTTTTTAAAAATATATTTTATTGATTTTACACAGAGAGGAATTGAGAGGGACAGAGAGTTAGAAACATCGATGAGAGAGAAACATCGATCAGCTGCCTCTTGCACACCCTCCACTGGGGATGTGCCCGCAACCAAGGTACATGCCCTTGACCGGAATCGAACCCGGGACCTTTCAGTCCACAGGCCGACGCTCTATCCACTGAGCTAAACCAGTCCCGGCTTTTTTTTTTTTTTTTTTAATTTTTAAAAAATATATATTTTATTGATTTTTTTCAGAGAGGAAGAGAGAGGGATAGAGAGTGAGAAACACCCATCAGCTGCCTCTTGCAAACCCCCTACTGGGGATGTGCCCACAACCCAGGTACATGCCCTTGACCGGAATCGAACCTGAGACCTTTCAGTCCACAGGCCGACGCTCTACCCACTGAGCCAAACCGGTTTCGCCACCTCCCTCACCTCTTGATGTTGCTGTGGATGATGTCCAGGTTGTGCAGGTGCTCCACGGCGCGAAGCAGCCCTGAGACGATGCTGACGCGCTGGGGCCAGAGGAGGGGGTCTGAGCCGCCCTGTGAGAAAGAAAGGGGGTGAAACAGTGACACCTGCTCCCTTTAAAGTCCCAGCGGCAGGGTCCTGGGCTCCTGTCTCTCCTCCAGCCCTTCCCGCATGGGTTACTGGCAGGGTGCCAGTCCTGGTATCTGTCAGATCTAGGCGGTGGAGGTCCCAGCTCAGACATGCACTAGCTCTGTGACCCTGGAAAAGACACAACCTCTGCGAGCCTCGCTTTCTTCGGGTTAAAATGGAGCTGTTAATCCCTATGCTGCAGGATTGTGGTGAGGGTTCAAAGAAGTGTATGGCACGTCCCTCCTAGAGAGTCTGCCACATGGTGGGTGCTCAACACACAGCAGCTATTTTTATCATGACTATCACAGGCAGTCATGTGGAATTTTTCTCTAGGAGGGGCAGGCTGGGAGGGGAGCTAGGGAGCTTGTGTTGGCACACCAGGCCCTGGACCTTATGCCCATTGTGTGTGTGTGTGTGTGTGTGTGTGTGTGTGTGTATATATATATATATGTATGGGGAGACTTCACAAGGGATGATGGACATTGTGGGGTGGGCTAACGTCTGCTCCCTTTCCTCGGGTGCCACCACTGTTGCTCTAAGACAGTCTCCAAGCTAAATCAGCACTTATTTCCCAAGTCCTGTCTGAGGTCCCACATCCTCCAAGAACTGGCCTTGCTCACTGATTTCTCCTCAAAAACTCTGAAACATGGAGCCACATGAAACCAGTTCGAACCCTAGCCCTGACACCTGTCAGCTGTGTCCCTTTGGGAAAGTCACTTTGCCTCTCTGTGCCGGACACTCCTCTTTCAGAAAATGGGAAAAACCTGTTGGGTTGTGGCAAGGCCTGGAGGAGACATGTGCAAAGCCCTTGTCACGTGCCTCACTCACACACAGGAGGGGCTCAGCGAGGGCATATGATGATCATTATCTCACCAGGAATAACTGCTTTACTTGGACCCCGCCAAAGGAAGTGGAATAATTTTTTTTCCCCTCTGAGAATTTTATGGGGGGAATGTTTGCTTTTAAAACTGTAATTCTGCCCGGCCAGTGTGGCTGAGCAGTTGAGCATCGACCTATGAACCAGGAGGTCATGGTTCAATTTCTGGCCAGGGCACATGCCTGGGTTGTACGCTCAATCCCCAGTGTGAGGTGTACAGGAAGCAGCCGATAAATGCTTCTCTCATCCTGATGTTTCTATTGCTTTCCCTTCCTCTCTGAAATCAATAAAAATATATTTAAAATAAAATAAAATTGTAACTTTATAATTTCTGAGCCTTTTGGCTAAGATCAAGTGATAAAAACTGTAATTTTTGTTATTGTGTTGTTAATCCTCACTCAAAAGTATCTTTTCTATTGATTTTTAGAGAGAGTGGAAGGGAGAACGAGAGACAAAGAGAGAGAAACATCGCTGTGAGACAGACATATTGGTTGCCTCCCCCATGCACCCCAACGGGGGATTGAGCCTATAACTGAGATATAAGCCCTTGATCAGAATTGATCCACAATTCTTCAGTCTGTGGGCTGACACTCCAACCACTGAGCAAAACCAGCTAGGGCTAAAGCTGAAATTTTAATAAGTATTTATTTTGAAATAAAATTTTGCATCCACTTTTCAATACTTTGAATCTTTTTTTTAAAATATATTTTATTGATTTTTTTATTTTTTTAACAGAGAGGAAGGGAGAGGGATAGAGAGTTAGAAACATCAATGAGACAGAAACATCGACCAGCTGCCTCTTGCACAGTCCCTATCGGGGATGTGCCCGCAACCAAGGTACATGCCCTTGACCGGAATCGAACCTGGGACCCTTAACTCTGCAGGCCAACGCTTTATCTGCTGAGCCAAATCAATCAGGGCTGCATCTTTTTTTTTATTGTGTAAAGTTTTACATTTGTCTTCTTTCTTCCCAATTAACCCCCACCCCCCAGCCATTCCCACCCCAGGCAAGCCCCCACTGCCTCAGTGCCTGAATCTATTGGATATGCTAATATGCATGCATACAAGTCCTTTGGTTGCTCTCTAACCACCCCCCCTACCATTTGTCTTTAGATCTATTCTTGTTCAAATTATGTTGATCATTATATCCCACATATGAGGGATATCATGTGATATTTATCTTTCTCCAACTGGCTTATTTCGCTTAGCATAATGCAGTTCCATCTATGCTGTTGCAAATGGTAAAAGTCCCTTCTTTTTTATAGCAGCATAGTATTCCATTGTGTAGAAGTACCACAGTTTTTACTTTGTATCTTTTAATTATTTTTCTTATCCTATTGTATTGGCTATCATGTCCAGAACATTGTTGGGTAAATTTAGTGCTATGGGATATTTTATCTTAAACGAAATGCCTGTTGCCAAACAACATTTTTATAGGGTTTTACCTGAAGATGCTTAGGCAGATCTTATATATCTTGGACTAACTTCTCTTGAAAGGCCCCTCTCTCTCTCTCTGGACTCTTATATGTCTTTAACCATTGATTCTCTAACTGGGTGCTGCCTGGTCCCTGCCTTCTGACCGTGGCCCAGCCTCTTACCTGGCACCGGAGCCTGTCCTGTAAAGAACCATTTGCCATGTAGGGGTAGATCAAGCTGTAAAACTGTTTTCCAGTGCAGACGCCCAGCAGAGGTAAGACATTGGGGTGGCAGCATCTGAAATCGGGTATTAGTGCAGAGGCGAGGCGTCAGACAGAATAATCCAAGACTGCTCCCGTCCCTCACCTCCCATACCTCCTGTGCCCTCCCCGCTGCCCTGAGGGCCCGGCACCAGGGGAGGAAGATGAAAACTGGCGTGCCTCCAAGGAGCTGCCTCCCTGCTCTGCGGCATGGGACACCTGAACCGCCCTGTCTTTGGGAAGCGGAGGCGTAGAGACTAAGGAACTTGCCAAGGTTATGGCTAGTAAGCAGTGAAGCCAGGGTGAGACTGCAAGTCTGTTTGACCCCCAAGACTGGAGTTCTTCCCCCAAATCCTCTTCCGCTAAGTCTGTCACCCATTCCTTCTGACTCCTCTGCCCTCTTAACCACTCCTTCCCGGCCGTTTTCCCTGAGACCCTCCTCTCTCACCTCCCTCTGAAACCTGAGTCTCCCAGGCAGGGCTCATCATCTTGTATTATAAGCTTTTCTCTAGGTACTTCCCGCCTCTATGAGGAACGCTCCCAAATCGCTCATCTCCGTGCTCTAGGAGGCGAACAATCTAAACTCGTCAAGTCCCAAACCTGTGTCTCCACCCACAGTTACGATCGCAGCAAAGGACACCACCATCCATCCAATTTCCTAAAAACCCTCTTACCGCCCCAACCTAATTATTATGGACACTGAAATCTGAATTTTTTAATTTATGTCATGAAATAGTCTTTTTATTATTATTATTTTTTTCAAACCATTCTTAGCTCTCGGGTCATACAACACAGGCAGGGCCAGATTTAGCTTATGGGTCATCATTTGCTAGGTCCTGCTCTCGATCTGGATGTTAAGATGGATTCACTCTTAGAATTGGAACCAGGAAGTCCCTGCCAATCTCAAAAAAATGAGATAGGTCCGGCCAGTGTGATTCAGCAGTTGAGCGTCTACCTGTGAACCAGGAAGACACAGCTCAATTCCTGGCTGGGGTTGCAAGCTCGATCCCCAGTAGGGAGCGTGCAGGAGGCAGTGATTGATGATTCTCTCTCATTCTTGATGCTTTTATCTCTCTATCCCTCTACCTTCCTCTCTGAAATTAATTTTAAAAAAAAACACACATTTTTTTTAAAGTGAGATAAAAATAGATTTCTCTCCCCCAGGATGAAAGGACTTGGGCCAGGTCGAGCCAGGTTTCTTTTATAATTCTATTCTACACATATATTAATAGGTTGTTAAACAGAAAAAGCGTGGACTATGGTGCCAGAGCAACCTGGGTTCAAATTCCGGCTCTGTCACATTCTTGCTGTGTGATCTTGGACAAGACACTTAACCTCTTTGCGCCTCGATCTGCCCGCGTGTAAAACACTGTGCTGACAACAGCTACGCTCCAGGGTTCTGGTGAGGATAAAATGAGTTTGTACACACAGAGTGCCTGCCCCGTAGGAAGCACTATGTAAGGGTTAGCTGTCATCATGATTAAACAAAGCTTAAGCATTTTCCGTAGAGAAGGCTTACCTGTGACAGATTCGTATCTCTGCTTGGAAGAAATTTTCAATTGATCCTGGACCTGAGCAGGCCATCTGTGGGAAAAGACTGCAAAACATTAAAACCCAGCCTCACCCAGGCAGCTTCCCCCAACACACACACACGCACACACACACACACACACGCACACGCACGCGCGCACACACACACACGCACACACACACACACGCACGCACACGCACGCGCGCGCGCGCACACACACACACACACACACACACACACGCTACAAACCAGAGCTAACCTCTCGGAGCTTCTTAAAGACGAATGGGGTGCCCTGCCTCTGTCCTCTGTAGACGTCAGCAAAGGTCCCCTCGCTGATTTTGTGGGTTTGGTTGAAGTTGTCGGTTGCGTGAACTACGTCCACCTGGTTCCAGAAAAGGCTGTCCACAGCCAGGCTCAGGAGGGTTTCTTGCCTAGGAATGGAGGTGCTGACATCCTGGGGATTTAGAGAGGAGAAGGAGATTAACATGAAATTAGCATGGAAAATGCTGTTTTCCCTATTACCCTGTTTCCCCGAAAATAAGACAGTGTCTTATATTAATTTTTTTCTCCCAAAGATGGGCTACGTCTTATTTTCAGGGATGTCTTATCTTTCCATGCGCTAGGGCTTATTTTCGAAGGATGTCTTATTTTTGGGGAAACACGCGTATCTCAGGGGTCTTAGAACAGCAGAGCTGAAGGGATGGAGGGGATCATCTTATCCAGTGAGGGGAAATGATAAAAAAGTACATGAGTCCTGCAGCTCAGTTGGAGTGCCTTCCTGGACACCAAAAGGTTGGGGGTTTGATTCCTGGTCAGGGCACATACTTAGGTTGTGGGTTCAATCCCGACAGGAAGCATAGGGAAGGCAACTGATCAATGTTTCTCTCTCACAATGATATTTCTCTCTCTCTCTCTCTCTCTCTCTCTCTCTCTCTCTCTCTCGCTCTCTCTCTCTCTCTAAATCAATAAAAACAGGTGAGGATTTAAAAACAAAACAAAGGACATGAATAGGGCCAGCTCAAATCCAAGCTCAGGCACTACTTTGCTCTGTGACCTTGGATAAGTCACTTCACCTCTATGAACTCTAACTGCATCAGCAAAAATGAACATCACAACCATTGTAGCCTGGAGAGAAATGCTGGCGACTAACTAAAATGTGAGTATTACTAGCAAATGGTTGATGTTTGCTTTTTTTTTGTTTTTCAGTTTACAAAGGTAGCACCAAGGGGGTCAAAGAGCTGAGGTGAGATCGCACGGCTGGTCGATGGCCAAGCTGGTTCCCTGGTCCTATACTTGGTTCGTGTGCTGGGAAGCAGGATAGAGGTTCACGGAACCAAAGACACTTCTGGAATCAGAGCTTCGGGGCTGCTTGTGTGGGTAAGCCTATGAAAAGCAGCAGCTCTGCTTCAACACTTCCTTCTTAAAAAGAGGTATACAAAATGTACTTAAAAAAAACAAAAAACTTTTTATGCTCTTTTAAACAGTTTTAGAAAATTAGTGCTGGTGTGTGTGTGTGTGGCGGGGGGTGTTCCCATTAATCCCATTATTCACTTAACAGCTATTCAAGTGCAGTGAGTGTCCTGCAGACCAGATATATCAGATTTTATTTCACAAACCAGAATCCTGATGCACATGTTGTTTTGATAGTTGGTGTTTCCACTTACATTACACTATAATCATTCTCCCACGTTATCCTCTTTGGGCAGGATGAATTTTCAGAGAAAATGAAAACCGTGTTTAAGTGAGTCTCCTCTCTGGCACAGCTTCCTTACCCAGCCCTGCGATGCTGGCTGCCTCACCAGGCACCCTTTTAGGGGCCAGTGAATATGTTCTAGTTTCTTGTAAAAATCAGAGGAACAAAAACAAACTTTTAAAGTCAAAGAAAATGTTTCCGTTTTTAACCTAGCTTGAATTATATTCACTTTGACATCAATGTAATTATAAAATAGAAATTATTTTTAATGAAAGAAAGGGCCCGTGAAAGCACAGGTGCCTAAGACCCATGAAAGTCATATGTGGCCTGGACCCAAGTCCTTGAACATTTAGAACAACACAAACATATTTTGGGTTGAAAAAATAAACTAGGACAGAAGGCGGTCTGTAAGCAAATACGACTGCAACCAATATATTTATATATAAATGAGACCTGCCGATGACCGGGTCTCGCTTACACACAGATAAAGGAAAAGCTCATTAAAAACGTTCATTCACTAGTGCATGAGCCCCCTCACCCCCAACCCCATCCCAGTTCTATGGAGTCAGTACTTCCACCTGAGCGGCTCAGAGTCATCCCCCCACCCCCACCCCACTCTAACCCCAGATCGGTCTCGGGGAATAAATGCATTGCTGTTTTGAGAAAGATTGAGTGCCACAGACTGGGGCTATGGCTCTCAGATGGGCACTTACCTTTGGATCGGGTGAAGCAGGAAGGTCTGTTTTTAAGGAAGCAGCGGCATCTTCGGGAGGAGGCGGGAGGCTGGCTCCGGCTGGAGCAGGCCCTGGAAAGAAGGGGCTGTGGGTCAGACAGGGGCGCCCCTGAGGGAAGCGGGAGGGGTCCCTGTCAGTGCCCTGACCTAACCACGCTCTGACTGTTGTCAGTAATGACAGCTACAGTTCCTGACACCCCAGGCGCCAGACTACACCGTCCTCCCGCGGCACCTAAGTGAGTCCTTGTGACAGCCCTACGGATTGGTCCCTGTTCAACAGGCGGGGAAACAGAGGCACTGGAGGTGGCCACTTGCCCAGGGCCGCATGGTGCGGAGCAGAGCCAGCCTTCAAATGGAGTATCGTCCGTGTGACACCTAACCCCTGCGCTGTCACACCTCCCTCACAAGGATCCGCGGACACAGGAAAGTTAGCCACGAAGCAGGCCTTCCGGAATCCTCCCCCACGGAGCCTCTGAGTCCGAGCAGGAGAGGCTGGGAGGCCAAGGAGGCCTTCCCAGAGGAAGGAGCACGTGACCTGGGCTTGAGAGAGGAGGAAATGCTAAGTGGATATGAGGCGGGGGGGAGGCACGGGGGGAGGCACGAGGCAGTGCAACTGGACCGGAGGGAGACACTGCAAACACTGACATCAGCGACAGCTCTGGTGCCTCCCTGTCTAACTCATGAACTCTCACACAGTCCCCGGAGGGAGGTGCCGTGATCACCTGCTCTTTACCGGAGCTGAGAACGAGGCCTCTGCGTAACGGGGGGGCCCCCCTCCCAGGGAGACCTGGCCCTGACCCCAGGGAGGCGGTGACATGCACCTGCTTCCCGTAGTGCTGGTTGGCGATATCAGGGAAGGATGACTGATCTGGACTTTTGGCCACAAAACAATGCAGAGGACTGAAGTGGAACCCGGTGAGACGGCCGGGAGCCTTGCTGAGCTATTGACGCGGCAGCTGACACGGCTCCTCGGGGACAGAGCCCCAGGCCCTCCTCCCCTCCCCGGGCCTGCGGCAGCTTCCAGAGCTGTCAGGGCTTTTTCTGTTTTGCCAGTTTTTGTGAAAGAACTGCATTTGAGAAGGCACCGTGTGTGCACACCCACACGGCGTTAGAGAACCCCAAAACGGGCCACCCTGGGCCTGTCGCCTTCATCCCTCTCCTGGATGTTGGCCCTGCCTCCGTGCCGCCTCACTGAGCTCCTGGACGTTTTTCTTTCAGTCCACTCTCATTCCCACACTGTGCTATGCATTCAGCCTTGGAATCCCTATCAGGCGTCTTCAAACTACGGCCCGCGGGCCACATGCGGCCCGCAGAGGAGTCTGATCCGGCCCGCCAGGTTTTTTGGGCAGTGAGCGCAGCCGAGGTGTTACAGTAGGAATTAGTAGTTCATGTAGTCCGGCCCTCCAGCTCTCTGAGGGACCGTGATCTGGCCCCCACTTTAAAAAGTTTGAGGACCCCTGCTAGCTCTTGGTGCCCGTGATCTGTATTTTCTCCAGCACCCACGTTCCCGTGGACCACTGGGTCCAGGCTCGACCTCCCTCCGGCTTCTGTCCCCTCCCCCTGGCCTAGCTCCGCCGCTGAGGGACTACACACATAGTCCCCTGTCCTCTCCTGGGCTCCAAGGTCAGCGCTGGCCTCACACAGCCAGAATTCTCTGCTCTGACCTGATGCCTGGGGCTCCCTCTGGGGGCTGCTCCAGTCTCTTGGGTTGGGGGGAGCCCTGAGGCCCCCTCTCATGACCTTTGAGGGCCACTCGTTGGAGGAGGGGCTGAGTCTACTTATCCCTCCGGTTTTGCCAGTGAACAGGAATGGGATCTGGGCCACTCCCACAAGGATGGCACAGCAGGTACGAATGCTGGCGGAAGGAAGGACCGGGTCAGGGAAGACGCGGGGCTACTTACGTAAATGTCATTTCAAAAACACTAAGCGTTAACCCTTAAGGTGACAACACCTTTACCCCCCCCCCCCCCTCAAAAAAACACGAACATTTCCTATGACATTTCCTATGAAAATCTTTCCCAGGCCGAACGCAGCACACCCCACCCGGCCACGGGCACCGCTGTGGCCTCAGCACGGAGCACAGGGCAGCGCTGGCCTGCGGGGTCTCTGGCCCCCGCCCTGGGGCCGGCAGGGGCCTGCCCGGCAGCCTCCCTGCCCCCTTTCTGCTCGTCACACAGAACTGGGCTCACGTCCTGGCTCTGACACTGCTAACGAGAGGGACCGGGTGAGTTGTGCTTCACGTCTCCAGCTTCCTCGAACGTAAAAAGAGCACTAACAGACCATTCCTTACAGAGTGCTTGTCCAGATGAAGAGAGACGACGGTTTTAAAGCACGGAGATCAGCCTCCGTCTGCTGTGTATGCCTGGAGCACCAAGGCTGGCAGGACCGTGTAGAATGAGAGTAAAACAGATTCTTATTGACAGCCTGGCCCACGGCGAAGCCTTTTTGAGGTATTTCGGCTGCTCCGAGCCCTTTTACCTGGACTCCGGCTTTGAGAATGTGTTTAACAAGGTGCTCAGAGTCTGTCCGTGCCTCACCGACTCAAGTCTTTTCCTCTTCCACATCCCTCCCCACTTCCTCCTCACCTACGGCACGGGGGTCGGGGTGCACGGGGGTGAGAGGTGGGCTCTGGCCGTGGACAGTGTGGCTCAGGCGGTTAGAGTGTCTTCCTGGTCACCAAAGGCGGCAGGTTTGATCCCCTGGTTGAGGCATGTGTGGGAGCCAACCAATGGCTCGTGTTCTCCTCTCTCTCTCTCTCTCTCTCTCTCTCTCTCTAAAATATCAAATGTTTTCTAAATTAAAAAAAAAAAAAAGTGGGCTGGGCAACTCACCTGCGCTGAATCCCAACCCCACCACTCAGCCAGCCAGGAGGCTCTGGCAGGCTCTGCATCCTTCCCCAGTTATCAACAGGGCCCCCCCCCCCCCCCCCCCGGCGGTCAGTGTGGCTCACCAGGCAGTACCCATGACCTCCGGCAGGCAGTCTTTGTTCCCACTTATCATTCCCTCCCAGCCTTCGCTGCCTCTTATAGGAATTATCTCCATTCCTACAAGGTAACCAGCCTAAAGTGTGGGGCCCAAAGGAAGTCTGGGGGGCTTTCCCAAGAGAGGACAAGCTTTGGGTTATTTGATGTGATGAATGATTACTCTCTTATTTTCAGTTTGGGCAAAGATAAACAATCAACTTCCTTCCTGTCTATAGATTGTATTTGTCATCTCGACCTGCCAGGGCACATGTGCTTCTGAGGGGCACTCAGAAAACAGAAGGGGGCAGAAGCTGGCAGTCACCCAGACAAGGAACCACAGAGGCGGCTACACCTGTGACCTCCCCATCCTGACCAGCACTCCCCTGGAATTCCCTTATGTTATTACTATGTTTCCCATTGACCATCAACCAGTATCACATTTGCTTTATGACTATTTCCCCTTATCTTTAATTGCTGATCAAAGTTCTGCTCTTTTTATTTTTCTTTCTTTAGCTACAGGAAATAACTCAGACTCCTTGGCCTAGAATTAATTTTCCAGACTTGAACTATCTAGGGTGTCTGGAATGTTCCTAACATCAGTGAACACTTAAAAAAAAATTTTTTTTTAGCCCTAGCCAGTTTGACTTAATGGAAAAAATGTTGGCTTGCAGACTGAAAGGTCCCGGGTTCAGTTCCAGTTCAGGGCACATACCTCGATTGCAGGCTCCTCCCCGGCCCAGGGCCTATCTTTGTCTCTGTCTTTCCCTCTTTCTCTCTGTCTTTCAATATTTCTCTCTGTCTTTCCCTCTCTCTTCCACTCTCTCTAAAAATCAATAGAAAAATATCCTCAGGTGAGGACCAACAAAAAAATATTTTAAAATAATTAAATAATTTTTAAAATGTTTTTAATTGATTTTTAGAGAAGGGAGAGGGAGAAACATAAATGTGATCAGCTGCCTCCTACACACCCCCTACTGGGATGAAGCCCACAACCCAGGCCTGTGCCCTGACCAGGAATCAAACAGGTAACTGACTGTGCACTGGATGAGCCCAACCGAGCTACACCAGCCAGGGGACATCAGCTAATATTTAATGAGCAAACCTGTAGTGTACAATTCCTTACCACAACATGATGATGTAGGTTCTGTTATTATGCCCATGTGATAGAAGACAAAACTGAGGCACTGAAAGGCTAAATAATTCTAATAGAAAGTGGTAAAGTTGGGATTCAAATGCGGGTCTGTCTAATGCAAAAGCCTATGCATGCTCCTCAGTCCATGCTGACCTTGGCTTCAGGATCCACATTAGTGAACTGAGGTTTCACAGGTTTGGGCTCTTTGGCTCACATGCAGGAGGCTGCAGGAGAAAGGGAGGGAGGCTGGGCACCAGGGGAGAGATGGTGAATATGGAGATGTGGGCATGCGTGGCAGTGCCCCTCAGGGAAAGTACAGCTGGCTGAGTCCTGCCACCATGGGGTAAACTGTCCCTGGGCCCTTTCCTGGACTTTTTCCTCTTTAGCTACAGGAAATAACTCAGCATGGAGACAAATCGGAAGTGGTTTGAAAGGCCTGGGATAGCAGTGTCTGCAGAGGGTAGGGACATGAGCGTTCAAACGACACTGCTCAGATGCCACTTCCTAGTCATGTGACCTTGAGCAAATCACTTTCCTCTTGGTGTTTCAGGTGCCACAGAGCAAAGCAAAGGACCTGTGACTGGCAAAGAGGACCCGGGGGCAGGCATGGAGCACCCCACCACATGGCTGTGAAGGCCAGGTCCTGGGCCTGTGGAAAACAGACAGAGAAGTCACTAGGCCCCTGAGCCTGGAGCTGGCATGCAGGGCCAGTCTGTGTTGGGGGCATGGGCAACCACAGGTAAAGTACCGGGGCCCCATGCCGGGCTGTTTAACTCTCTGCACTCACAGCTTCTCATCGGTGAGATGGAGATAATCACCAGGCTCACAGCTGAGAAGGGTTAAATAAGTTAACATCCCTGAGGTGCTTAGAACAGTGTCTGGCACACAGCCCTCATTCACTGAGTTCTCTCTTTCTTTCCTTAAAAATAGTAAAAAAATGGCATATTCTTTTACTGACTTTTTTAACTTAATATATTGTAAGCATGTTTCCATGTATGCATACATATCTGGATCGTTATTAACAGCATTATTGTGCTAATAATGTTAACAGTATAATGTTAGGCTAACATATTATTGCAATGACCTGTCATTAAATTTACCATTCCCACTGTTGTTTCTAATTTTTTGCCGTTAAATACTGAGCTGAATATCCTTATAGATAAATCATTTCCTTACGTATTCTTTAAATTAAAAAATGTAACTTAATTAAGAATACCTGGGCCCGGCAAGGCAGCTGGCCCCACGAGCTGCCCCTTCTTCTGTCCGTCCTCCGTGCTTCTTACAGACGCTGCCCAGGGCCTGGTTGGCTTCTCGGCTCCTGGGAAGTCTGGGGGAGAAGGCCTGATTTCAGGCACTGGCTTCCCTGAAACAAGGTGGAATGGGAGAAAGGTGTTGTCATTCCGTGAAGTGGAGCAGCCCTCCGGAGGCGGGTCTGGTCCCGGTGCGGCCTCGAAAGCACCGTGTTCCCAGCGCGCTCTCCCTCGGAGCCTGGGACCGTCTGGGAAGTGTAGAGGTAGGTCAGGGCAATCTCCTGCGATGGCTCCAGCCCTGACACTCTGAGTCAGAACACTGCTTTCTGTCCTCCCAGCGGGGCCTGGCCAGGCGGCTCCGTTGGTTGGAGTGTCATCCTCTACATCACAAGGTTTCGGGCTCGGATCCCGGTCAGGGCACACACCAAGGTTTTGGGTTTGAGCCCCAGTCGGGGTGCATTCCAGAGCATTCCAGAGGCAACTCATTGACGTTTCTCTCCCACATCAATGTTTCTCTCTCTTTCTCACTTTCTCTTTCTCTTTTTCTCTCTCTCGCCCTTCCTTTCTCTAAAATAAATAAACATATCCTCAGGTGAGGATTAAAAAAAAAAAGTAATCCTACTAGTTGTGTGACCTTAGACAAGTCACTTTCTTTTTAAAAAAATATGTTTGTATTGATTTTTAGAGAGAGAGGAAGGGACAGAAAGAGGGGAAAGATAAAAGAATAGATCGGCTGCCTCCTGCATGCCCCCTACTAGGGATCAAGCCTGCAACCGGGACATTTGCCCTGACTAGGAATTGAACCAGCAACCTCTTGGGGCATGGGTAGATGCTCAACCACTAAGCAACACTGGCCGAGCAAAAAGTCACTTGCATTCCAAGGGCCTGTTTCCTCACCTATAAAAGGAAGATCATGTTACTATCTGCTTGCCTACCTCATAGGCTGTTGGGAGGGAAATATGGCTGAGCTGGTGTGGCTCAGTGGTTGAACATCGGCCTACGAACCATGAGGTAACGGTTCAATTCCCGGTCAGGGCACATACCCAGGTTTCGGGCTCCACTCCAGTAGGGGGCACGTAGGAGACAGCTGATCAATGATTCTCATCATTGATGTTTCTCTCTCTCCCTTCCTCTCTCTGAAATCAATAAAAACATATTTGAAAGAAAAATGCAAGTTATGCATTTCCATGAACACATGGGCTAGTTAAAGCTCTCCATCCTGCTAAATCCCCAGTTGAGCCCCTGGATATAAAAGTTCTGGCCAGCCCTACACTTCCCCTTCCACAAGCAGCAGTGGAAACATGTGCATCCTTCCCTGTTTTAGAGACAGGGACTCTGAGAATAGCAGCTACATCAACTGAGCACTAACACTGCGACACCCAGGCCCGGCTTTGCATGCATCAAATCCTCCCAAGGATTTCCCACTTTGTCCCAGTTAGAGATGAGGAAACTGAGGCCTGGGCAGGTTAAGTGACTTCCCCAAGGTCACATCGCTGGGCAGACAGGGCTGGCCGAAGGAGCCTGGGCGGAGGTCACCTGCCTTCTGTGATCACTTCCCCTTTGCATCAGCTTGGGAAACCCCAAGATACTGTCAGGGTGTCTACACTCGCTCCCACCCAGCTTCTCGGGGCCGACTCTGTGTCAGGCAGCTTCCTTCATCGCTGCCCTGGCATCCTCTCTCCCCACAGCCACTGCCTCCAGCTCGGAGGCCCTCGGATTCCTCCCAGGCTGCGTCTCACTAACACACAGAGATGGCCCCATCACCCCGCTGCTTGAAGCCTTTACGACCCCATCATCTGGATGAAGAATATACTCTTCACCTGACTCCGGATATCTCCCCATTGCCTCCGAGCAAATCCAAACTCTGCAGCCCTGCACGCACGGCCCCTCACCCGCTGGTGATGTGCAGTGGGCCCATGTTTGAGAACCACAAAAATGGGGGCACCCACGTCCCAGGGAAGGCTTCTGCCTTTACCTCTCACACCTGCATCACCAGGTGCAGCCGAGACAGTCCCCCTCCAGCCTTTGACCCCAGGAGCATTCATTCCAACAGGTAAACTGTCTCTAAACAAAACTGGTTGTTACCATGGAGCCAAAGCACTTCGAACACAAGCTTTGGGACTAGAACAATATTTTAAAATATATATATATTTTATTGATTTTTTTTACAGAGAGGAAGGGAGAGGGATAGAGAGCTAGAAACATTGATAAGAGAGAAACATCGATCAGTTGCCTCCTGCACACCCCCTACTGGGGATGTGCCCACAACCAAGGTACATGCCCTTGACCGGAATCGAACCTGGGACCCTTCAGTCCGCAGGCCGGCGCTCTGTCCACTGAGCCAAGCCGGTTTCAGCAAGGGACTAGAACAATATTAATGATGCCTAAATGCATGGCACTACACTTGTATGGTACCAAGCAGATTTATTGGACGGTCATGACGATCTAGGCTGGTTAACAATTATCTGCATTTTTTTTTTTTTTTTTTTCTGAGCACATGAAGGCTCTCAGAGGCAAAATTATTTTTCCCTGAATCAAACAGCTGATAAGATTCAAACCTAGGACTGGTTTCACTGTCCCCTCTCATCGGTTAGGACAGAATTGCTCAGATACCAAGGTCATTACCATCACCTGAAGAGGGCACTGCCCGGGACCCCCACCTGCTCAAAAAAGCAGGAAAACTGGGCAGGAGCTGAAGAAAGGCTCGAGGGAATGCATAGAAGAAACAGGAAGGCTGAATGGGGGAGAAAACGTGACTTTTTCTTTGACTGTCACTGATAAAGTATTCATTTAAATAAAACTCTCTTATAAAAGAAGTAGCAGAGCTTAGCTGTTTAGAATTCAGGCCCTGGGATGGAAACCAGTTTCATCCATTCCCAGTTATATTGACTCTAGTCGCCTTTCCCCAGAACTCAGAGAAAACCCTGCGTGCCAATGGCTTAGCTCAAAACACAGGAACTTCATTAAAACATTGGTTAGCTCTCCTACAGCCCACATGGTGAGCATAAAGAGTAGGGTGGGAGTCTTCATTTTCATCTAAATTGTTTCCCCCTTTTTTTCAGTTTTAGTATACTTACTTTTCAATTATGGCAAAATACACATAACATAGATTTACCATCATAACCATTTTTAAGTGTTGAGTTCAGTGGCATTAAGTACATTCACATTGCTGTGAAACTACCACCACCACCATCCATCTCCAGAAATTCTGTCCACATCAAACACTAACTCCCCATTCCCCCTCCCACAGCCCCTGGCAACAACACCCTACTTTCTGTCTCTATGTATTTTACTACTCATTAAAAAAAAAATTTTTTTTGCTGAAACCGGTTTGGCTCAGTGGATAGAGCATCAGCCTGCGGACTGAAGGGTCCCAGGTTCGATTCCGGTCAAGGGCATGTACCAGTATGGGGTGTGCAGGAGGCAGCTGGTCGATGTTTCTCTCTCATCGATGTTTCTAGCTCTCTATCCCTCTCCCTTCCTCTATGGAAAATCAATAAAATATATATATTTTTTATTATTATTATTATTTTTTTTTTTAGTAAATGAGCTTCTATTTTATTTTATTCACCGTATAACACTTGCACCTCTTCCTCCATGGGGGTTCTACAGGTTCTCAAGTAAAATAGTTCATTAACCCAATTACCAATATAGCCATCAAGGGCATAGGAAACTATATCCTTCGAGGCCGTCTCATAAACCACATGTGGGAGGCATTACAGAGAACTCCGTCCAGCTTGAACAACCAGTCTGTCTGCTGGTTACTGACAACTCCTGAGTATCTCTTCCTTTTTTGTTTAATCATCGCCTGAGGATATATTTTTATTGATTTTTTTAATACATTTTATTGATTTTTTACAGAGAGGAAGAGAGAAGGAGACAGAGTTAGAAACATCGATGAGAGAGAATCATCGATCAGCTGCCTCCTGCACACCTCCTACTGGGAATGTGCCCGCAACCAAGGTACATGCCCTTGACCGGAATCAAACCTGGGACCTTTCAGTCGGCAGCAGGCTGACGCTCTATTCAATGAGCCAAACAGGTTAGGGCTATTTTTATTGACTTTAGAGAGGAAGGTAGAGGGGGGGGGCGGGGGGGAGAGAGAAACATCGATGTGAGACAGAAACATTGGTTGCCTCCAGCATGAGCCCCAACTGGAGATCAAATCTGAAACCCAGGTATGTGCCTTGACTGGGAATCAAACCTGAGACCTTTCAATAAATGGGACAACGCTCCAACCAACTGATCCACACCTGCCAGGGCTCTGAGTATCTTCTTTTAAGTGAATCTTCATGGTTTTGTTTCCATCCCCGTACCTGATTATTTCATGAGCAAAGACATCGATGGGTTTGACAAGGATAAACGCATGAACTTTTTTCCTAATGCCTACTCTGGTAGCATAATGCTTCTTGCCATTCTTACGCCACATCATTTGAGTGGGTTTCAGCTCCCAAGTTAAGTTACAAGCTGCTTGAGGGATAGCACTGTGCCTTTTATCTCTTTTGAATCCACCCCCGTGTCCAGAATGACGCCCAGCTCAGAGCAGGGGCTCCAGGACCGGGGGTGATGGTCTCTGTAGGGAGTCAGAGTGGCTGAATCTCCTTCGGTGGCTCCGTCTTCCGTCACCACCAGCGTGCCGGCCCACGTGGAGTCTGGGAGGCAGAGGCCTTAGGACCTGTTCTTTTTTAAAAAATATATTTTATTGGTTTCTTACAGAGAGGAAGAGAGAGAGATAGAAAGAGTTAGAAACACTGATGAGAGAGTCATCAATCAGCTGCCTCTTGCACGTCCCCCACTGGGGATGTGCCCGCAACCGAGGTACATGCCCTTGACCAGAATCGAACCTGGGATCCTTCAGTCCGAAGGCTGACACTCTATCCACTGAGCCAAACCGGTTTCGGCGGACCTGTCCTTCTCCGGAGCAGTTTCCTCATCGCTCGGGAGGCCACAGCCTAGCCGCTGCCACTGCCCCAGCGGACAGCTGGCCGGAGTGGTGGCAGCAGGCGCCCGCCCTGAGTGTCTTCACGTGTGCTTTTCACTCTTTAACAGCAAATAGAAAGATGTTGTGTGCATATCCATTGACGTGGAAAGGTGTTAATATATTGAGTGAACA